ACAAGACCTAACTTCTTGCTGCCTACAAGAAACACACCTCACTAGCAAAGACATACACAGACTTAAAATAAAAGGATGGAAAACAATATTCTATATAAAAAGGAATTCAAAATCTATATAGGAGCCAGGGAGATAGCTCAGTGGCATGACTCCTGCCTGGCAAGCTCAAGGTCCTGAATTTGATTTCCAGTACAAAAAAAAAAAAAAAAACTACTTAGAAGGATTAGCTATATCATAACTTACAAAGCAAACTTCAAAACAAAATTAGAAGAGACAAAAAAAGGCCTTTTACATATTGGTAAAGAAAACAGGCCCACCAAGAAGATATGTAGCAGTTGTAAATACACATGCACTGAGCACTGGTGCACCTCATTTCATTAAAGAAAAACTACTTGACATAAAGAAATACATAGATCCCAATACAATAATAGCGAGAGATTTCAACAGTCCACTCTCATCAAAAGCTAGGTAATCCAAATTTTTGAAATGATAAAGATAACAAAGAAACATCAGAGTTAAACTACACCACAGGTCAAATAGACCCCAAAAGGCATCTATGAAACATCCTATACAAAAACTACAGAACATGTATTCTTTTTAGCACCTCATGCAGTGTCCTTCATAACAGATCATATTTTAGACCATAATGCAAGCCTTAACAAATATAAATAAATTGATTAATTTCTTGTATCTTATCAGATCATAATGGAATGAAACTACAAATAGCAAGAGAAACTATACAAACACATGGAGATTGAAGAGTTCACTTCTGAATGGTGAGTAGGTCAATTTTTAAATTCCTAGAATTGAATGAAAATGGAAATACAATTTACCAAAATCTCTGGACCATAGCAAAGGAAGTTCTATGAAAACTTATAGCTATGAGTGCCTACATCAAAACCCCAGAGAGATCACATCTAATGATGCATTTTGATATACTAGGAAATCACAAACAAACCAAAATCAAACCAATGGAAGGAAATAATAAAGATCACAGTTGAAATTAATGAAATAAAGACAATTTTGCATGCTTATATCTGGTAAAGTGAGCAACTGATTTGAAGACAATAATATGCAATATAACAAGCATTGGTGAATTCCTACCACTTTGCCTAGTGAAGCTCTGTATCGTCTCTAATGGGTTTTTTTCATTATTATTTTTTATTCTCTTTAGTGGTTTGATCAATCTTGTATTCTTACATCTAGTAATCTGAACAACTTTATTGAAAATGACAATATGTAATATAACAACCACTGTTAATTCCTATCATTTTGTTTTGAAACTCTGTATCATTTTTAATGTTTTTGCTTTGTTTTACTTTGTCTGTGATGTTGATATTTTGCTAATGTTCTTTTTTTTTTACTATTCTCTTTAAAATAAAAGAAGACCAAAAGAACAAAACACAGGATAAGTGAAATAGCTGGTTTTTAAAAAAGATAAACAACACTGATAAACCTTCAGCCAAACTAACCAGAAAAAAGAGAAAATTCAAATCAATACTTTTAGAGATGTGGGGCATGGTGGCACATGCCTGTAATCTCAGCACTGGGGGACTGAAGTAGGCAGATCACCACAAGTTTGAGGCCAGCCTGGGCTACATAGTGAGTTCAAGGCCAGACTAAACTACATAATGAGACCTATATCAGAAAAAGAAATACTATTTGAGATGTTATGAGACACCACTGAAATCCATGATTAAGTTGAGTTCATCCGAGGGATGTAAGGATGATTCAACATATGCAAATCAATAAATATAATACATCACATAAATAGAATCAAAGATAAAAATCACAATTGTCTCAATTGATACAGAAAAGACCTTTGACAAAATTCAGCATTCTTTCATTATTAAATCCCTGTAGAAACTAGGTATTGAAGGATCATATCTCAACATAATAAAGGGAATATATAATAAACATATAGCCTATATCATTCTGAAAGGGGAAAAAATGAAATTATTTTCTCTAAAATCAGGAATGAGGTCAAGATGTCCTAGTAAATATAATACTTGAAGTTTTAACCAAAGTAAATGAAAAAGAAATAAAAGAGATACAATGGAAAGGAAAAACTCAAATTATAGTTACTTGCAGACAATATGATCTTATACTTAGAAAACCTTAAAAAGGCCAACAAAATCAGCTTTTAGAGCTGATAAATTTAGCAATGTATCAGGATATAGAATCAACATTTAAAAATCAACAGTTTTTCTTTACAGTGATAATGAACTAGCTGAGAGAGTGATCAGGAAAACAATTCCATTCACAATAGTTTTGGTTTTTTTTTTTTTTTAAGTAGGGAATTAACCTAATGAAACACATGAAAGATCTTTACACAGAAGAAAGAAATTGAAGAAGACACTAGAAGATGGAATGACTGCCCATATTCAAGAGTAGGCAGAATTAATTTTTAAAGAAAATAAAAAATAATTTTAAAAGGCATTAGAAAAGATATAGAATTTCACTAAAAAAGATGATAAGAATTCAACTGTGGTTGTTATATTGCATATTGTTGTCTTCAAATTAGTTGTTCATATTACCAGATATAAGCATGCAGAATTGGTCAAAAACTTAAAAAGAAAAAAAAAATTAAGTGTTAAATGTTCCTTTCAGTAAAACAGTAGAAATGAGCAGTACAATTATCCCAGTTATCCATATATATATTTCCTTCCTTCTTTCTTTTTTTTTACCTTTCCCTCATCCCACTTGTCCCTTCTCTTTGAGCAATTTCTTTCCCTTTCACAGTATCTATTGTACCTTTTGGATTTTATTTAGCCTTTCAAGTTCTTACAGTAGGGAGACAATAAGATGTTGGCACATGAGGATGAGAAGCTGGGGAGGAGGATGAGAAGCTGGGGAGGAGGAGAAGCTGGGGAGGAGGACGAGAAGCTGGGGAGGAGGA